ATGGTGGTAGTAGTAGCAGTAGTAGCTGTAGTAGTAGCAGTAGTAGTTGTGGTGGTGGTAGCTGTAGCAGCAGCAGCCGTAGTAGTAGTAGTGGCTGGTGGTAGTAGTAGCAGTGGTAGTTGCCGTAGCAGTAGTAGTGTAGTGATGGTGGTAGTTGTAGCAGTAGCAGCTGTAGTAGTAGTAATGGTGGTGGTGGTAGCAGTCATCAGCTGTAGTAGTAGTGATGGTGGTAGTTGTAGCAGTTGTGGTGGTAGTAGTTGTAGCAGTTGTGATGGTGGTAGTTGTAGCAGTAGCAACAGTGGTAGTAGTGGTGGTGGTAGTAATGGTGGTAGTTGTAGCAGTAGCAGCTGTAGTAGTAGTGGTGGTGGTAGTTGTAGCAGTTGTGGTGGTGGTAGTGATGGTGATGGTGGTGGTGGTAGTAGTGGTGGTGGTAGTTGTAGCAGTAGCAGTAGTAGTAGGCGGTAGTTGTGGTGGTAGTAGTAGCAGTAGCAGCTGTAGTAGTAGTGATGGTGTAGCAGTAGCAGCTGTAGTAGTAGTGGTGGTGGTAGTTGTAGCAGTGTGGTGGTGGTAGTGGTGGTGATGGTGGTGGTGGTAGTAATGGTGGTAGTTGTAGCAGTAGCAGCTGTAGTAGTAGTAATGGCGGTAGTTGTAGCAGTAGCAGCTGTAGTAGTAGTGATGGCGGTAGTTGTAGCAATAGCAGCTGTAGTAGTAGTGATGGTGGTAATGCATGTATTTTACAAGACTAAAGAAGTAACAGGAGTAATATCACAGAGGACAGTCTGACGCATAGCGTCTCTTCAGTCCCCAGTATCCGTGCTGCAGGAGATGCCCAGCCTCAAGTCAATGTCACAGCAGTATGTCTTGTTAGGAATATCCTGGAGACTTATTTCAGGAAACGTAGCAACAGAGGAAACACTTAAACCACACAAATCATTTAATTAGGAAATTGACGGGTAAGAAAAATGTGTTGCATGAATACCGATACTGATATGGACTGAAAGGAACATCGATTCAGTTTGATTGTATCTTTCAAAGTCTAGCAGCTTGTTCACTTTTAATTAGCACTCCTGAAGCTGAAAAGAAATCGTCGATGACTACGTCCTCCGTGCCAGGGCTCCAATAACGCCAATTTGCCCTCATTACATGTTGCGATTTTAACCACTTGTGATGTAATCAGTTCTCAAATTGTTGAGCGGTTTTCGCCCACTCGCATGTTTTACTAGTATTTTTGAAGTGTCTTCATGGTGTATTCTTTAAGTGTACTCATGGTGTATTCTTTATGTGTACTCATGGTGTATTCTTCAAGTGTACACATGGTGTATTCTTTAAGTGTATACATGGTGTATTCTTCAAGTTTACCCATGGTGTATTCTTTAAGTGTATTCATGGTGCATTGTTTAAGCGTACTCATGGTGTATTCTTCAAGTGTACCCATAGTTTATTCTTTATGTGTACTCATGGTGTATTCTTCAAGTGTACACATGGTGTATTCTTTAAGTGTATTCGTGGTGAATTCTTTACGTGTATCCCACTCAGCAATATTCCAGCTATATGGCGGCGGTCTGTAAATAATCGAGTCTGGACCAGACAATCCAGTGATCAACAGCATGAGCATCAATGTACAAGTACATCGCAGCCTAACGCAGCAAAGGGACGTAATATTTCAATGTCAATAAGACTCCCGCCGGGCGCTTAAAATCGCCCGTTAGGCAATACAAAAATACACCAAAGTTATATGATCTTTACAGATTTGGCTGAGACCATTTCCATGTTATGACAGATCAAAGGTTGATTTAAATATCAGCTGAGCAATCCTGACACGTCCTCATACACCAGACTCCACGTGATGCCATTACGAACGAAATCACCATGTAAAGTAATTCGAATGAAATATATTTACACTTCCAATAATCAGTTACTGTTAAAAGATAGACCACTCGATACCGTCAACGAAATAGACTTGTCAGATCCTTGAGTTAAGCTTCTTCCAAAATAACACGCAGCCATCGACCTCCTCGGTGACGTTCCCTGCCGCTAAGTGATAATTTCCCTGTCTGTAGTGAGACTATTTGATTAGAAACATTAATCAAAGACGCCTGGAAGATCATCAGGGGAGGTTTTAGTCGAGCTTTCCCTGAAGATATGACCAATAATCAGTCACATCGTGCCGGTATGGACAAACATTCATAACTTTCATATCGGTTAATCAAGATATAGATTAATCAATTAGTCGATAGGATTTGAGGCTGACGGACTGGACTGTGTGTCCGGGTTGTTTGTGAAGCGCTCAACTGAGGAATTCAGGCCTGTCGTTAGGATATGTTCCTTTCTGGCATTCTAATGGAATGCGTTGGTGTTGATAATTTGGGGATCGATGTTCATTAGTCTAAGGGATGGTGATTGTACTTGTTTTGTTAGAGCACTAAATGGATTATTCAATATGCTTCAGCAATTTCTAAATCTATATTCGCTCACCTTGTCATGAGACAGGTTTAGAGTGTATTTGCGTGAGTGGGCTGGGTTCGAATCCAGAAGTTGTAAAGAGTTTAAACGATGAAGCATGCAACTTTATAGATAACAACTTGTTCTTGTCCTAGGACGACGTTTCGGTGTAGATTCTTACACCGTTATCAGGTATTTCCATAAACTTGTCATTGACACACCAACTTCTACAGTTCCGATCAAACAATTAGAAAGTGTTAAACTGTGAGCTCTGATGAGACTCACAAGCTCGGGGCTCATAATTTTAATCACAGCGAATATTTGATGAGGACCTACGATCATGACTCGCTGGCACGCCTTAAGGACTTTACCAGCTGCACATCCAGTGGGTGTACTGCGAGTACTGAGTTATGGACCCATGCCAAAAGGATTCGCATGAATGCAAAACCTTCAACAATATCATTAGTGCGTCAGTTACTAAGTGTACTTACTGGGGCCCACTTAGTGGTGCTTAGCTAAAAGGGACGTCATAATCTGGTTTGACGTCTGCTTTTTGGGCAGACGACATTATAAACATGGGCGCGAAGTCTGCTGATTTGTTCATCATTTTTAGTTGTCCGTTATTAATATCCAGTAAACGTTTTTATTAATTGCAAATACTAACGTCTGATGGTTCAACTGTAAGGGGAAGTATTTGAAATCGGGGACTGACGAAAATCAACAGAGAAGTCATCTGCCCACTTGGATCAGCGAGAGGGTTTAGGCATCGTTAGATGGATTAGTAACATACACATCGTGGGGACAGCTTTAAAGGGTATTACAGTTGATTACAAAGAGGACGGACGTGATCAGGAGGTTTTTTCAACGCAAAAGCCTTTGAATAAAAATACAATTTTATGGTCTGATGTTTAGATCACAGAGGATGGTCTGTCAGTGGTCAGAAGTAGAAGGTTGCCAACCTCTTTGGGAATGTGTGATTTGGTGGTTTTAATAAACCGTACTTGGGACCAGTGTGAGGTGAAATTGGGTTTTACGTCGTGCTGGAGAATATTTCGCTCATATGACAACGTGCATGCGTGTGTATGTGTATGTGTGGCTGCTTGTACTAGCCCAGACTTAAGCTGGTTTTATAAGCAAGCTCACTGAGATACCATGCGGCAGTGAAGCATGAATACGACACATTATACTGACTCCGAGCCGACCAGTCCTTGTTGTACCCATTAATGCCGAGCACCAGGCAGGGACCAACAAGTACCATATTTTAACGTCTTTTGGTATGACGCGGTCGGGGATCGAACCCGCGACCTTCCGCTCTCGGAGCGTACTTGGGACTCAAGTGTGCTTCACTCATCTGAGAAGAATGGTGTTAATATCTCTGCAGAAAACCTGTGTTCAGTTTGGTCAAGAAATCGTACGATTTCAATATTACAATGCCCCTATGTTCATGGTTTGAGAATTGTCGAAGAATACACCTGCAAATGAGGTTCGGTGCATCACAATCATCTTAGTCGCCGAAATTAAATATTGTTTAAATGTTTCGTATGGACATAAAACGATCCCTGAAATATACAAGCAAGGAATACACACCTTCCATAGTTGTTAGTGACATGAAATCAAATTTAACCACTAGGCTACCTCCACTGCCCCCAAGAGAACGTGGAGAAGCAGGACCTGCCTGGTGATCGTTTAACAAAAATACTGCACACCACGGTCTACACAAGAAACGAAATGTTAACAGCGCCAACAATTACAGCTTTTGGCAGAACTTCTGCGCCTTACTCAAAGACACATTTTTGAATATGTGACAGCAAATCTAATGGGGATTGTCTATTAGAATATTTCAGATTTACAGTAAAATGACCAAACGGCAGAAAGATAATTATTATTGATTAATGATAATGATATTTCTCTATATAAAGATGATTTTATATATTTTATCGTCGTTCAACAATATCCGAAGAAAGGACTAAAAGATTTGTGTATTATACTTCTCTGAAGAAGTTCCTACCACATTTTGCTGACACGCCGAAGTGTAAAGTGTATACTGATGTACATGAGGTTATTCACTCACTTATATACAACTAATGTCTTGCGGGAAATACGGGAAGACAACTTAAATGGTTATCCCCGCTGTGAGAATTCACTCTCTTTTTTTTCTTTTTCTTTCTTTTGTATTTTTTGTATTTTTATTTTATTTTTTTTATTTTATTTATTTTTTTATTTTTTTTTGGGGGGGGGGTGTATTATTAGCAAATCGCTTGTGTTAGACTCGTGTTTTTCTGGAAATCATTAAATTCACAGACCGCGGAAGCGATTGATTAAACAAAGAGGGGGAAAATCTATGTACAGTAGCAATAAGGGGAGACAACTTAAATGGTTACTCCCGCTGTGAATATTCACATTTTTAGTAGTGTTCTCAACTCCAGACATGTTAGTCGTGCACTTTCTGTGAATCATTAAACACATGTTCATGAAACCGCACCATCATGTGGAAGCGGATTGCATAAACACAGCAGGGACATAACTGTGTACAGTAGAAATAAGGGGAGACAACTTACCTGGTTACTCCCGCTGTTTGTGCTATGAGTTCCTGTATGTCACGTGCACTGCAGTGCCGGCTGAACACGATCTGAAACCAATCCAACACAAACATAGATTAGCTTCGTATATCATCTCATACATCACAGAGCGCGGTGGTAGGGGCACGGGGGTAGGGCAATCGTCTGAGTTCCGAAACTCGAGTTGGAGATCTTAGACATTCACCATTTTGCTGAAAAGCAGGAGCACTGGCATGGTGCTGGCAACCCTAAAAGACGTAAGTTGGGAAAAGCTGGGATTCGAACATACAATCATTCAGGACAAAGGGGCGCAACTGTGCACAACAAAACCCTAGACTATCGAGCCACCTGCAATCTTGAACAACGTTAAATCTCACCGTCACTTATTACCTCTTGAAAGGTTAGATTTGTATTTCGTTTGAAGGTTCGTATATTCAACTCTCACACTGCTTCTTTTTTCTTTCTTTTTTATTCCAGCATAATGGGTTCAATCACATGGGTATGGACTGTCATCAGCTTGTTGTACAGGCATCATAACAAAGTTCAAGGAGATGGACATTGAAAAGTGTAATGAAGCAATTCTATGGCTGTACAGATATACAGTATTATATAAAACTGCTGTATAAAACCAGATATACTCTATCTCCAGCTGGTACAAACCGGTTCAAGATTGGCACAACGTTTGACGAAGAAAGTAAACTTCAAGGTTGTATGCCAGTGATACATAAAATCAGATATAGTTAATCTGACTGTTTGAGATGCAAAGTTCAAGAAAGGCACATATGGCTATAGGCTAATAGGATACCAAAAGGCCAATAGTATACACGATCAGATGTAATCTGTCAGCTTAGAGATGTACAAGCATGTTTGAAAATACAATAATTGAACAGTGGCAGAAATTCTGCAAGGAGAGTCACTCTATGACTATAAGCAAATAGGCTACCATATCAGGCATGATTTATCTGACTATAGGTGTGTAAACATATGTGACCTGCGAAGGTTCAAAAAGGCATAGTGTTTGCAAATGGAGGTAAGTATATGGCTATAAGCCAATAGTAAACACCATCAGATGTAATTTATCTGACTAAAACTTTACAAGCTTTGGGTCCTAAGACTCAGAAGTGGTACAGAGTTCTCCGAGAGAAGACAGTCAGTAGCTGCAGTCAAAGAAATACATGTATGCAACAATCATACATAATTTATCTGATTAAAATTCTACAGGTGTGTTTGAACTACAAAGTTCAGTGATTGTACATTGTTTACATTGAGCAGTAACTGTGGCTGAAAGCCAATACTAAATAGCATCTATATGTAATTCATCTACTTAAAGTTTAAAACTATTTGTGAGTGGAGACCATTTTTTTTCAAAGGCATTATATTTGTTGTTCTTACAAGCAATGAACCTTTCAATGGCACTTGTCTGATGTTATTTATAACCTCTTCCATTGATAGGGTGTTGCCCTTTAGACTGCATAGAAAAATATGCCTTTTGCTCAGTAGGATTAGGTGATTCAGCAATTTATATTGGTCTGGATAGCCAAAAAGAATTGCATTGGTATCCAGAGTTATACCCATATTAATGTGGGTATTCAAAAATAGTTTCAGATTCACCAACTCTCACACTGCTTTATGACTAACACTTATGGAAATATTTAACATCATCATCGGCGTCTGCGTCGTTGTCATCAGACTGTCGTCGTCATCATCATCACCATCATAATGGTCCTTGTGATCTCTCGGTCTCTGATCTAACCACAAAGTAATGATAGTATCGTCCACTTGTAAGGAGCATATGTCCATTAGCAGTGATTGTTTAAAAGCTGTATTGTTATATTACCCCGGTCAATGGATCCGAGTGTACTCGATTATTATTATCAGCTCCCCGAGGAGAGCACAGTGACATAGAGTGAGTGAGTTTAGTTTTACACCGCTTTTAATAAGCAATATCACGACGGGGGGCACCAGAAATGGGCTTCACACATTGTACCCATGTGTGGAATCGAACCCGGGTCCTCGGTGTGACGAGCGAACGCCTTAACCACTAGTCTACCCCACCGCCCCACTGTAGTGACGTAGAGCAATTGAGGTGTTGTATTTGGGCGATTGGTATGTAATACAAATAAAGCGACAAAACTCTTTCAACATTCATTTGAACACTGCCATAATCAGCGTCGACGTTGCCGTTCTATGAACATAAACAAATCGAGTCTGGACCATACCATCCAGTGATTGTCGCCATGCGATACAATGACAGAGCATGTGTTTATGAATCACTATCAACAGTAATCATATCAGATGTTCGCGAAACGGTGAGCGTATCACCCGGTGGCACCCGTCTTAAATACATGTAAAGGTTAGTCAGTTTCTCATCTGAAAACACAGGTACAACTAACTTAATAAATTGTCTCGGACATGATTTTTGTCTCTGAAGAGTCAAATTTTGAAATGTCTTCCGTGTGTCATTTGGAAGTTTTTACTGAAGCCTTGAATGTCTTAAAATTGACCAAACAACTATTGTTGTACCGTAAAAGTACACCAAAGGCTGGAGCTGCAGGAATATACCTCGACATAAAGAAATGGTAACTCTCAGAATGGTGTAGTGTTATTCTTGTCACACAATTTTGTGTCGCCTTTCTTCTGCATTTCTTTCCTCTGATTTTTTCTGTTTTGATCTAAATCTGGAGATGTATCATGTTTAGAGTTCATGAAATATGTATGTCCTTCACTTTGAAGAGGATACCAGCTGCATATATACAAGCATCGATATGGCTCACCTCATGTATTTGGGCATTAAACATTGAGCTTGTTCCTTTGTACTGAGATCAAAGCATTGTCTGGTTGTGTAAGAGACAATAACACAAACCACCGTCGCGTGACCTCTAGAAGAACGATTGCAAGAAACCTAGCAACACAGGAATGTGATATTGCAAGAGGCCTCGCAACGCTGGAACGTCAAATTGCAAAAAACTTATCAAAGCAGGAATGTCACATTGCAAGAGACCTAGGAAAGCAGAATTGTCACATTGCAAAAAACTTATCAAAGCAGGAATGTCACATTGCAAGACACCTAGGAAAGCAGAATTGTCACATTGCAAGAGACTAATCAAAGCAGGAATGTCACATTGCAAGACACCTAGGAAAGCAGAATTGTCACATTGCAAGAGACCTGGCAAAGCAGAATGTCACATTGCAAGAGACCTGGCAAAGCTGAATTGTCACATTGCAAGAGACCTGGCAAAGCTGAATTGTCACATTGCAAGAGACCTGGCAAAGCTGAATTGTCACATTGCAAGAGACTAATCAAAGCAGAATTGTCACATTGCAAGAGACCTGGCAAAGCAGAATGTCACATTGCAAGAGACCTGGCAAAGCTGAATTGTCACATTGCAAGAGACTAATCAAAGCTGAATTGTCACATTGCAAGAGACCTGGCAAAGCAGAATGTCACATTGCAAGAGACCTGGCAAAGCAGAATTGTCACATTGCAAGAGACCTAGCAAAGCAGGAATGTCACATTGCAAGAGACCTAGCAAAGCAGGAATGTCACAAAGTTCTGTTCAGCACCACTGGATTAGCCATAAGAATGCATTAAACTGGCCATCGAACTCCATTCCACCCGCTGCTCAATCCTAATCCAAAGCTTATTTTACAATGCAATCTCTGCAAAATCCTAATCGGAAGCTTATATTACCATGTAGTATCTGGTCAATGCAAACCTAGTGTTTTTAAACATACGTCCTATATAGTCGACTGCAGAAGACTGAGAGGGCGAGCTGAGTTTTTGGCAGTTTGGAATAATATTCCTGTTAATACACAATGCCATTTAGATAGTCATTCAAATGTATGACAAGGTATATTTGAGATTACACTTTCTAAGTAAAGTACAAGTGTAAATTGGCACGAGACTCAACCCCTAAAAGAAATACTAAAATCTATATTTTACTTAGCAATTGAAATCCCAAGCATAACATATGCTAGCATCCATGTTATATGAGAGCCTAGAGGTGGGATGGAAAACCCAAAATGACTTTGGTAAACCTACACGTACAACAAAACCGGGATTCCAACCAATTAGCACATGATCCTGGCAAGCTAAAGGGACACAAATGCACAGCGAATTGCTACATCTCAAATTACAGGCTAACCTTTCCCCTCACTCCCACACCACCTCGTGCCCTTTGCAGTTAGGGAGCAGTATATAAGTCACGTGTTGTGTCGAGTCTGCAAGCCTTTGGGTATAGGTCGAGCGTTTCCTTTAAACACACTCTTCATTTTGATTCTTTTTCACACAGTTTTGTCATGACAAAATCGATATTAATAACAGTAATAATACGGGCATTTGTAATGCCCGGAGGGGCACGCTCAAAATGCTACAATCTGATTATTATTACCCCGGATAACACAAACTGCCTGTTAGGCGCTAGAAGGTTAATAGTCTCATGACTTATCCAACGGATTCCCATTTTCTGCTGGGTGAACAGAGGCAGGTTTGATCAAACTTACTTGCCTAAGGTGAGACCACATGTATGTACTAGTATGTGCTTCCTTGTGGGACGGGGCGGTGGGGTAGCCTAATGGTTAAAGCGTTGGCTCGTCACGTCGAAGACCCGGGTTCGAATCCCCACATGGGCACAATGTGTGAAGCCCATTTCTGGTGTCCCCCGCTGTGATGTTGCTGGAATATTGCTAAAAGCGGCGTAAAACCAAACTCAGTCAGTCAGTCCTTGTGGGACAGGGTCGGTGGGGTAGCCTAGTGGCTAAAGCGTTGGCTCGTCACGCCGAAGACCCGGGTTCGAATCCCTACATGGGTACAATGTGTGAAGCCCATTTCTGGTGTCCCTCGCCGTGAATATTGCTAAAAGCGGCGTAAAACCAAACTCAGTCAGTCCTTGTGGGACAACAGCTTCTAGCGGTTCTACGCAGGATTCAACCAACATTAAGTCTACAAGGTATTCGATTTAAGATGTGAGTTAGGATCCATTATCTTGAAGCTTGCCTACAAGACATTTCGCGATACAGACATTGGTCGATAGACTCCAGAGAGGGATGTTTTCACAAGCTCGGGGCTCGA